GTTTATGCGTGGAAGGTGGTCACACAATGATGGTTTTTGTTATTTGTTATTTGTTTATTATTGTTGACAGTACATAGGACAATGAAATTGTTCGTCTCATTTTAGGCATCTTAGTCTCAAGTGGACCCTTTTGTCCTCAAAAGACAGTGTGAGAGTGACACTGGATAAAACTTTCCAGCAGCCATGAGTTGAAGAGAGGCCCTATTAGAAAGTCCCCTTCTAAAAATATTGGGTCACAGCTTATTTTATTCTAAAATTTAAAAGTTCATTTTAATCTACCCTGTGAAAATAAGAGGGAAGTCTCAGGTTAATAAGAGCCTTTTCTTAGAGGCAAATTGATTCTGGATTTTTCTATTCTGCTTCAATTAAGTGTGACTTTGAAAGAACTGTCTCTCGGTCGTATTTATTCTATCTAATTTATACAGGATGGCGAAGTTTGCTTCTATTCCTGATATTTACTTAATGCAAAAGTCTTCCATAGCTCTGAATGCTATTCCTATAATATTATGCTATGTCTCTGCTTACCTGTACTGGGCATTTAATTCTGTCTCCTTGGGAACCACTGATTGGTTCAGAAGCATTACACCTGTCCCTTATGTAGTCATTAACCAACCAGGTGCAGAACCAACTGGAAATATGTCCAGAATTAATGCTTGTCTTTCAGCCACAACTCCATTTGTCTTAGCATCTGTATCTGAAAGGAGACTATAGACATAAAGGCTTTGATGGAGCAATGTCTCTATGCCTACTAGACCTCTCTTAATTTCCACCTCCATAGTGAAAGAGGGACACTAGAATGTTAAAGCATGAGAGAAGGCACTTCCTGCTTCCTATCTGTTCCTGCCTAGTCAGTATCCCTTTAGCAATGCTCTTTATCCTAGCAGTGGAGTTATCGCTAGTTTGCAAGATTTGTTTGTTTGTTGAATGGTTGTTTTCTTGCTTGCTTTGGGCTTTGGTTTTGTTTTAGAACTCCCAGAAGCAGCCTCACTGAATCACTGCAGGGGTACCAGCACCAGTGGGTGGTGCCCCATCCTCACAGGTTTCATTTAGTCACAACTCTGAGGGGCACTTCCTGTGATAGCAATATGAGATAGGGCAGCACCCTCTCTCAGCAATCGGAGCCATTGTTTCATCTAAGCCTTTATGTTCCAATGACCAGATTTCTTGGTTTACTTCAGCCTTTGAAGGTACCATCTCTGTGTCACTTCAGTGTCTCCTTTGTGGTTTTCAAATCATCAATACCCGTTTAACCAGCTGCTTATACTAAAATCTCTAAAAATAACTGAGGCATGTATTTATTTATACTTTCTCCTGACTAAATCTGCTGCTATCCAGAAACTAAAACTATGCATGTCTTCCCATCTTGAACTATAGTTTCTGGATACAATCAACAGATCACATAAGACTTAATTTTAAGTTCAATGCATGTTGAGCTTAAAGATATAAAGAAAGTGGCTAACCTGATTCCTAGTCATTTTCCCTATTTCCTTTCCTTTTGGTGGCCCCTCAACAGACTCCTATCTCTATCCTCATTCCTAAGAATTCCTTGAATGTTGTGAGGATATGAAATGTAGACTAGAAACATAGTATTGCTTATATTATTATGAATGTTCTTTTCCTGAAGTTTATAACTTCTTTGTTAGGCAAGATTCTGCCTTCTCTGGAAACTCCCGGCCCAAGGAAGAAGATGTAGAAAAGAGACATCTTTGGTGAGAACACAGAAACCTATAGCCACAATGTATGGTAAAACCATAAGGTCAAAACACAGACCAAAAGAGAGTGGGAGAGAGACTTGGTCTCCAGATTCCATAATCCTCAAATTGGTATTTCTGTGGATAGAAAGAATTTAGGTTCTATGTCTAGATTTTATTTTCTGCTCTCTTATTTCCCAGTTATGTGATATTTGGCAACTCTCTTATTAAAAACATTGGATTTCTAGTGTGTAAATGAGAATAATACCTACAGATGTTGTGCTGATTGAATTGCTTAAATAGAATGGCATGGTCTTGGTGCATTACTCCGGAAATCTGGGTTTCTTCCTCTTGCCTACTTCCACCTGAACTAGGCAAGGAGAGTGAGGAAGAAATCTGGGTCACTTATGAACTCTCTGAGTTTAAACACCAGTCACGTCCCATGCTGCCTCCTACCTCACTGTGTAGGCAAAAAATCATTGCAGAGAAAAGAAGGATTAGTAAGCTGTTGAAACGTATTCATATCCCTCTGTGCAGCAATTTCTGAATGCCTTGCTTTATCTCTTTGGTTCGAACGCCGTATACAATAGGGTTTAAGGCAGGAGGGATGAGATGATGAAGGACATTCAGCAGGATGAGGATGTCCATGGGAACCCTCTTTCTGGCCACATTTGTCAGTACCACGACCAGCAGGATGGTGCTGAAGAACAGGATCAGGATGAAGTGAGAGCCACATGTGCTCAGAGCCTTGACGGCAGCCCCCTCAGCCTTGAATCTTAGGACAGCTCTCAGAATGAAGGTGTAGGAGAGAAATATGAGGATAAAGTCAGAGCCCAGCAAGGTCCAGCCAGCTACAAACTGGTAGATTCTGTTAAGGGTGAAGTTGTCACAGGAGAGCCTGGATACAGACAGGTTGGCACAGATGCAGTTCTCAATGATGTTTTTCCCACAATAATGGAGTCGGGCAGTGAGGATAGGAATAGGTGCAGTGAGGAGAGCATTTCGTGCCACAATAAAAACACTAGCCTTGGCCACAAATTGGGTAGTGATGATGGATGGGTACCTCAATGGGTGGCAGATGGCAACATAGCGGTCATAGGCCATGACCATAAATGTGCAGGATTCCATGGGGAGAAAACTATTCATGATGAACATCTGGAGGAAGCAGGCAGAGAAGCTTATGGACCTGCGGTCAAACCAGAAGATGGCCAGGACCTTAGGGATGACAGTGAGACAGAGTACAATGTCCAGCATGGAGAGTAAGCTAAGCAAGTAGTACATGGGCTCGTGCAGGGAGGCATCCAGACGAATGGTGATCAGGAGGGTGGTGTTGGCGCCCATGGCCAGGAGGAAAAGGAGGCTGAGAGGCAGGGACAGCCAGTGCTGCCAACTCTGGTAGTTAGGGAAGCAGATGAGGAGGAATTCCGAGACTGGAGTAGCAGAGTAGTTCCTGGGTAATGCCATGGAATGCATCTGGAGTTGAGAATGCTTCAGTTGACTATTTGTATAGGCATATAAGAGAGATACATTTTTAAAGTTGCTTTAAAAAAATCTTTCATTCACACTTCAGGAAGATAATGTTCTGTAGGAGATCCTACTTAAATTAGGTAAACTTTAATCAATTTACAAAAACTAGAGTAATGAAACTTGACCTCTATGCTGGGGAGGGAGGGGTGGAGGGGTGTGCTGTGAATCAGTGGAAAAAATGATAAAGAGAAGAAGTTAAAAAATCACATTATATCTTTAAAATCCGCATGAAATTAGACTAAAATTGTACTTACATTTAAAAAAAATTAAACCCCTAAAAATATAAAGGAGATGGGCTAAGAGTACAACTTAACTTTTAGAATTACCAAGTATATAATAGCTACCACCACTCTAGCAGTTTGTTGTACTGTGGTGGCTTACATGCTCCTTTGATGCTTGAAACTATACCACCAGTATTTTAAATACCAGCAAGGATGCCCATGGAGAACAGCTTCCAGAAGAACGTCTAGACCAGTGAGTCTAGGGAAAAGAAAGAAGCCATCCACTTCTGATTAATCAGTGACAATTCGATCAATAGCATCAGAACACTGTCTGATATGGTGCCAAAAGATGAGCTGTTTGTACTGAAAGGTATTCAAGACACAACTGGGGAAGAGCTAGCGCCTCAAAGTAGAATCCGATTTCATGACATAGATCATCAGCTCCTATGACCTTCATTTGCTGATTGATGTGCAGACTCAAAATGAGAATTGTCAATAAACACCCATTAATAATTGGAACATAGAATGCATGAAGTATGAATCTAGGAAAATTGGAAGATGTCAAAAATGAACAAGAACACATAAAGATCAATATCCTAGGCATTAGTGAACTGGGCTAGATTGATATTGGTCTTTTTGTATCAGATAATCACATGGTCTACTATGTGGGATTGACAAATTGAACAGGAATTGTATCAAATCTATCTTTCAAAAAATTTTCAAGACCTATGCCGAAGTACAATACAACCAGTCATAAAATCTTTATTTCCAAGGAAGACTAGCTAATACAACTGTACCACTAATGCCAAAGATGAGGAAATTAAATTTTTTTGCCTACTTTCACAGTCTGGAATTTATCAAACATGCATTTAAGATGCATTGACAATCACTGCAAGATTTCAGTTGGCAATCTTGAATTGGCAGCAGAGAAAATGGATTAAAGGCTGGAAAAAAATGGCTTTGGTGAGTGAACTGACTGGAGATCTCATGACAGAATGTTGACAGACCAATGACTTCATTGCAAAATGCACAGTCACTATACCGTGGACCTCACTGGATGGAACACAAAGAAATCAAATCAACTACCTCTGTGAAAAGAGAAGATGGAAAAGCACAATATCAACAGTCAGAACAAGGACAGGGACCAGCTGTGAAATAAACCATATGCAAGTCCAAGTTAAATCTGAAGAAAATTGAAACAAGTCCTTGAGAGTGAAATATAGTCTTGACTATAGTCCACCTGAATGTATTGGAGACCATCTGAAGAAGAGCTTTGGGGTGTTGGACAATAATGACCATAGACCAGCAAGTTGCTAGATGACAACCAGGACATCATGCATGAAGAAAGCAAAAGGTCGTTTTGAAAACAGAAAAGACCTCAAAGACCAAAGCAGATGTCAGAAGAGACTCTCAAACTGACTTTTGAACATACGATAATAGCTAAAGCAAATGGAAGAAATGACGATTTAAAATAGCTGAAAAGAAAATTTCAAAGAGTGACTTGAGAGCATAATAAAGTTGTATAATGAAATGTCCAAAGACGTGTAGTTAAAAAATAAATTAAAAACGAAATAACACTCTTAGGTTTCTACAATTCGAGTTTCTGTTTGCAGTTTCGGCATTTTTCCACTGTGTACACAGTTTAAAGATAATGGAGGAGAATTGTACATAGATAATTTAATTAATTAGGCAAAAATAAATGAGTGCAAGGTCATATATCATGACTCCTTCATTTTCCAACTTCATCTCATAGTCCTCTCTCACTTGCTTCCTGAGCTCCTGTCACACTGTCTTTCTTTCAGATATTCAAATACAGCGTGAACTTCCTGCTTCCATGTTTCTTGGAATGTTGTGTATCCTATGCCCTCATATATCATCCCCTTACCTTCCACTCATTCGTTAAATCTCAGTTCACTTACATTTGTGAACCCCTTCCAAACTAGGTCAGAGTTCCCTATGTTATGTCCTCATAAAATCATATCTCTCTCAGTGTGTAGTTATAAATGTGTGATAACTCATTTAAATACTCCCCCTGTTCACCACCAATTTGTGTGTTGAGAGGAAGGACCATGCTTACCAATTGGCACAGTGCCTGGGAGGAGGTGGAGCCCAGCAATATTTGTAGAATCAATCCATTATCAGGTTTGGGAACAGAGTGATAGAGGGACACCAAAGAAAACTTCCTCACTCCTAGTAACTGAGGAGAAAAGGGAACGCTTCTTAAAGCCGATAACATTTTGGTTACATACCAATAAATGTATGGAACTTATCCACACAGGGAAAACTTTGGATGGTGTTATTTCAGACATGAAAAATTATTATAAGAAAACATAGAGGTAAATCTGAGAGAAACTTGGGAGGGAAAGTTTATGACTATTTAACGTGACTGGAGTCAAGAGATTGAGGGTGGAAGGGTGGGAAATGAATTTGTGAAAGGAAGAAAATAATCCAGAGCATGAAGAACATTTTCTAGAATAAGAATTTTTAAATTCATCCTCCATGTAAGGCATAGAGGCATTTTCTATTATGAGAAATATGAATAAATGTATAGTATATGACTATCACTCTGGAAGTAATGTTGCGGAAGAATGGAAGTTGCAATGGTCCAGATTAAGTAATGATTACTATATGAATAAAATTGAAGCAACAAAGATGGTAAGAAGAGGCATATGCAGTGAAAAGATAGAATTTAGTGACAGATTAGTTACAAAAAACGGAAAAGTGATAAACTCAGAATTACACCCATTTTGGCAAGATGGAGCAGGAAATGGAATTTGAACACATCAGTAGAATCACCAAGATGGGAAGCACAGGCACCTTAGTAAGTTTCATATGCAATGAGATGTGCCGAGTCTGAGGTATTTGCAATCTCTACATCCCTAGTTATCCTGTTGGAAATGAAGGCTTTAACCCAATTAGAAAGGCCATAACTTTAAGATGTAAATTTACAAAGCGTCAGCTTACTGTATATAGAATAAGAAGGTGTAGGGTTGATATTGAAACCCTGGGAAAACACCAATGTTTACAGGATGGAAAAAGAAAATAAAAGACAGCCATCAATGGGGGCACTGTAAAAGTATCAAGAATATCGGAGGAATGTGATATATAATAAAAACTAGGGGAAATTCGCCAGCTTGTCAGTTAAACAGATGTTCAGTAACATGAACACAAAGGAATGTCCACTAAATTTGAAATAAGGCTGTCATTTGTGACCTGGACAAGAGCAGTTTGTTGGCCTCATAACTATAGAAACCTGAATGTAAGGAGTTGAGAAGTTAGTAAGGATGCAGAGATAGGAAGGCTTTACTAGGAAGCTAATGTACTTCATTTAAAACTTTTAAGTAAATAAAAAACTGGGAGAGGAATGAGAGATTTTGTAGCATGATTTATGGCTAAGAAAAGACTAAAGATACAGAAGATAATAGAAATAAGGATGCAATTTCTATTGTTATTAGAATATTCGCTATGATCTTTACTACCTATCTTTGGGATTTCTCTATAGCCCTCCATCCTTCTGTGAAATACCCAAAGACACATAAAGCATACTTTTCCATCTATGTACATATAATTCCTTAGTAAGCACATCCTAGTCATTCTTCCTAACCAGGTCCAGCACAGCCCGTATGCCATCCCTTGACCCTGAAACTTACATAAGATGCAAAAAGATGAGCCCTTTGAAATGGGTCAGTTGTAGTGAAAACCATGCTGGGACTCTGAATGAATTTTGAATGCTTTATGGGCTGTATTATCTCCTTACTCCTCTCCTACCTCCCTTTTTAGAGGCAGATGGGGAAAAGGTATCTTGGGAAGCAGAAACTTGAGGGATGGAGAGCCGAGTCATTTGGGAGCCCTGGTCTTATGATGCGCCTACAGGAAGGGAGTTAAGATGTGAGGAATGGAGTGGCTTGAAACTAAATATGGAGCTCTGAAACTCAGAAGACGGATCTTGTATACAAATCTGTTACCCAAACCTGGATGAAAACAGGGAAGGAAGCTATAAAGCAACCTTCTTTATAATAATAACTGCAACATTTTGAGTGCTTCCTGAATAATTACTTACATTCTTTATAAAATTTTCCAATTTAATTATCTCCTGTATATATGAAAGAGGTGCTCTTTGGATTAGGGGCTATTATCCCTAATGTGTAAGTAAGACTCAGAGAGATGAAGCTTTTCACAAGTTGCATTCACACACATCTATCTGATCCAGGGTCTGTGCTCTAAATCACTCTTAATTACTGTCTCCCTCATGTTAATGAATGTGGCTGTAGGTGTGTATATCCTTTAAAAGAATCCTAGCAAATGAGCTCAACAAGCTTTTAAAATATTTTCAACTAAATTTTTTCTCTCAAAGAATTGCGTGCAAGATAATGTCAATATAAGGATATCTGCCAATGTAATTTAGCCACATTACGCTGTAGATAATATCATGTGAGTAAAATGGTTTCAAATCAGATGTCAATTTGAATCCCAGATCTGCTATTTTCTATTTGTGTGACTCATCTGTTACTAATACTGATTACCTACAATGTTCTGCATACAGTGTTATTCACTTATAAAGTGGTAAATAAGACAAACACTGTTCCTACCCTTACCAAAATTTCCTTCTAATTATGCAGTCATTAAATGAAGATGTTTTTGTCATCATTGAATGCTGTTGAGTCTATTCTGCAACAGAGTAGAACTGCCTCAGAGAGGTATCCTGCCTGTAATCTT